GAAAAAAACAAACACACACACACACACACACACACACACACACACACACACACACACACAGGCATACAGACACCACTGCGGGGGTAGCCAGGAAAGCTTTCTATGACCTTAAAGAGATTTGATGAAAACTCGATTTTTGCAAAACGGGGTGAAAACAATAACTTCCCCATTTTTGAAAATCTGAGATTTTTAGCAGGAAGTTAAAAATTAAAAGTGACAATTATCGATAACACTTGAATATTTTTAAATTAATTATAATTTATTATTTTGTCTGAAAATATGTACGTCAATTAACAGGTTGTATCAAAAAATAATCATTTAGTATATGATTATATACAATAAAAGTGACTGGTAGATAAAATCCTTGAATTGGGAATTTTTGTCAATACCAAAAATCCCTATTTCACAACTCATAACTTAATTTTTTGTATTTGATTGAAATAAAAGTAATTGGTAGATAAGATTCCTGAATTGGAAGTTTTTGTCGATATGAAAAAACCCTGCCATCATTGGTTTTTTCCATTACATTTAATATTTTAATTACTCAGAATTCCCGATGTTGTAGTAACAACCTGAATAAAGATGTGTATATAAGTATTGAACCATACTATATATATCAAAAGTTATTCTACCTCAATCACAAATTATCAGCCACAATTAGATTGAAGTAAGTACTTGATTTTTTTATAGTTTTGCAAACACTTATTTTCGATTTTATTTGCTTCATAATGATGTTTTCAACTTTTACTTTTTTTTTTCGCAATCAACTAGGATTCAAATTAACAATGAAGACCGTCAATTATATATTTTTCTTGTGTTTTTTCGTTGGAGTCTGTTTCTCAAATGATGTTGCATCAACAGTCATCGAAATCAACGTCGACGCACCAGTTATAACATCAGAAAAAGGTAACAATTTTTAATTGCTTTTAGAGATTCGGTTTTCTTAATTTGAAAACTCTATAGTCTAGAATCAAGAAAAGAAATCTCGAAGATAAAGCACAAAGAGTTCTTCCTTCGAGCATATTACTCTTAAACAGAACAATTAAATGTTTTAAGACAAAATACATTCGTGAAAAGGCATTTGCTTCAAAAGTTACCGTTAAATTGATCGTAATCGTGAAACATAATGCGGTCTTTAATTTACGATCATTTTTTAAATAAAAATTACCAAAAAATTCATTTTTTTTTGTGGAGGAGATAAAGTTTATGGAAAACTTCATAAAATTTACGGCAAACTACGGTAAAACTTATTGAATAAAGTTCAAAAATTATCTCATTTACAGACAAATGATGAGGTCATGTCATTTGTTCTACGATTATCGTGAATTAAACGGTCATATTAAAAGAAAATTTCTTCCAGTGTATGATATGTTGACTCGGAATACTAATGAAATAAATAGTTCAAATTATAGATAACAATAACTGTGTTTTGATAATTTGTTTAATTTTTGCTTACAACCATTCAGCAATAAAGAATTTGATGCAGACTACAACGGACTTGTTTCAAATGTGTGATAAATTTGGAATCTGTTACGATGTCAATTTCTTAAATACACTCAACAAGACTAAGGACAACTATAGCACAGAAATCAACGCAACAGTAAAAGGTAGAAATTATCTCTAGAGACGGGAAAAATTACAAAATAGGACCACTAAGATTGCTCAAAGTAATTTCGGAAAATAGATTGCCTAAACTTTATGATCAATAGAGATAACTACAGAATGAAAACGTAAAATCAAAAACATAAAAGAGGTAGTAAATTTGACAGTATTTATTTCTCAATCACCAGAACTTTAAATTTCAATGTTAAATAAATTCACATCTAATTCTTGATCTTAATTAGTAGAATACTTGAGTAATTGCTTATCTCTATAATGCTTACGAAGTGTTTGAGGTTGTGCTTTACTCTTGACCTGACAAGGTCAAGCTATTTTCTGAACATGAGTTTATAAACTTCCTTTTCTCAAAAATAGCTAGAAAGTAACTAACATAATTATTCTTAGGAAAACTAAACAATTTTTTCAACATTTAAATAAAATAAAAATGATTCCAAAAGTTTGGATGTATAATGAATTATTAAGAAGGTTTGGAAAATCTAAAAGTGCATGCTTCGCACTCTCATTTTATTACAAATAGAAAAATTTTAAAAAAGACCATTCGGCAGTCGAAATAGGTCCAAAAAATGAGTATGTTACGTTTCATTAAGGGGGATAGCCACTGTGAAATTTCAAAAAAAAAATTTTTTTTTTTTTTTATTAAATTTAAGATTAATCCAAGATATATATTAGATATATATATTTAAAATAATAATAATAATTTATATATATAATGATAATTTTGTCGCAGAGATCGAGGAATTTTCTTATACTACCGACAATTGCTTAGATCCGATAAAGGTTTGTGTTGACAATCAATGTAAATGCTTACACGGAATGATCCAATGGAACAATAAATGCTACTCATCTAGAGGAGGGTTTTGTTTGGATTCATCTCACTGCCTGTCTACCCATTTAGAATGTAAAAACAAAAAATGAGCCTCGGTTGCGGAATTCAAAGAAGGACCTTGGGAATGTTACAATAAATCAGGAGGTTAGTGACATTTACTTCTTTGAGCACTTTCAAAATGAATTTTTCATCAAAAATCTTAAATATTTTCTGTTTTAGATACATTTTGCTGGGGAAATGAAAGGACGGAAAGATCACCGAACATTCTCTGCCATGCAGTTCTTGGCTATTTTTCAGTTGCAGGAGTGCTAGTTAACCACAGTGACAGTACATCACATTGCCGATACGCTTGGAATCAACCTCAGGATTCGAACCGTTTCGAAGTACGTAATCACCAATAACGATGATCCTCGCTGTTACCGATTTAAGTTGTAATTTTTATAATTTTTCAGTTTTTTAAGCCTAATGAAAAAATAGTTTGGAAAAACAGTAATATCAAGCTTGATAATGCCATCTACGGTGGTCCGGATTATAGAAGCTGGTATCACCTATACCTTATATGCCAAACTGAGCACAACCGTATCAAGTACCTTGGACAATTACTTAAACCGAATTACAACGTGTGCAGGTTTATTTTGAATGGGACTTTTCATGAATCTAAGATATTTGATGTCTTAGTCTACGACGATTAAGTTTTTTGATAATTGTACTCAATCATTCAAAATAATCAATAATAGCTCTAATATTTGGAAATTTTTATCATATATGGATTTAAACGATTGTGTTATTACTTATTTTAATGTTTCAAAGAAAAAAATGTACGTAGCTAAAATATGGATGTAAATAAATGATTTTAATTAAGTAAATTTATATTTTTTTTTCTTTCAGAATTTTCACAATCTGAGATGGTTACAGTTACCATCTTCGATCATAACAGTTGTAATTTTAAATAATTACAATTATAATTTTCGATAGTAATCGTTACCATTATTAATAGTAACTATTACAATTGTCAATGATACAACCTATTATTTTGTTACTAATTAATTTTATTAACATTTCAGATAGTAGGAGTTAATATATTTTTGTATAGTAGATAGTATAATTAATATTTTTCCGTGTAGATAAGATCATTTAATTGAGAATTTTTGTCGATATGAAAAAACCCTGCCGTCATTGGTTTTTTTTTCCTTTTATTTAATATTTTAGTTACAGTAACAACTTGGATAATGATGTGTAAGTATTCAACCATACCTTATACATCAGTTGTTCTACCTCAATCAAAAATCACCAGTCATAATTAGACTTAAGTAAGTAAAATCAATTGATTTTTTTGTAGTTTTGCAAATACTTATTTTCGATTTTATTTGCTTCATAATGATGTTTTTAATTTTTACTTATTTTTCGCAACCAACGAGGATTAAAATCAAGAATGAAAACCGTAAATTATATTTTTTCTTGTGTTTTGTCGTTGGAGCCTGTTTTTCAAATGATATTTCATCAACAGTCATTGAAACCAACGACGACGCACCGGTTATAACATCATAAGAAGGTAACAACTTTTAATTGCTTTTAGAGATTCGGTTTTCTGCACGGAAAAAAGTAAACTGTAATAAATAATAGTCGATTTTTAATAAGTAATGATCAACTGCTAAAAATTACCATTTCAAACAGTAAAATCGTAATTTTACTATTCACTTTATAATATTTACCATTTAAACGTTACAATTTACTCTTTACATGGAAGAAAATATTATTTCAAACAGTAATATTCGCTATGTAAATGTCTAAAATGTTTAAGTATAATAATTAACAATTCAGACTTTGATATTTATCATTTCGTACCTAAAAAATGATCTTATGATATGTAAAAAGTATAAAATAAAGTTAGTAAATTTCTAATACAAGCAACGTCAATATTTACAAAGTAAAATGGTAAATTTTAAACACAACGCTAAAAATCAAACTGTAATTATTGGCTTGTTTGGACTGGTAAAATGTATATTTTAAAAGTATAATTTTTACTGTTTGAAATGTTAAATTTTCCCAGAGTGAAACCCCCTTCTCTTTCATCTGAGTTCCCCTTCTCCTCATAATATGGACTATATATTGAAATGGCAATTTTTACTGTTTGAAACTGTAATTTTTTAAGATGAAAGAGTCGTTATTTACTATAGTGACAGCTACTTATCACTTATTTTGGATATTAAACTATAAATTGTGGCTTTTATACTTTCTACATTAAGTTCTGTAATATTTATATTTTTGCCACCCCGATGTCCGCTTTACTGTTTGAAACTATAAAAATTTACCGGAATCCGAGTGAATATTACAGTTTACTTTTTTCCGTGTGGTTCTATTAACTCAAATTGATTTTTACCAGTGACAAAATTAATCTCCATTAAATTATTTATCGAATGATGCACCAATTAATAAGACTACATGGATTACCAATCGTGTACTTAATTAAATAGTTGCGAAACCGAGGCAAAACAAATTTTTCGATCGTAAAGCACTCTCTGATGCTTCCCATCATGAGTCGTGCAATTTTTATAAAAATTGATAAATAAGTCGAATTTCAAAACATATTTCATATCAGATTAAGCAAACAAAAACAACTGTCCAATTTAATCAGCTAATTGATAGCGAATGTCAGCAACTAAATTTCCGAAATGTAAACAATATTTCATCCATTGTTCTCTTGTTTCGTCAAGTAAAAGTACCTGGAATCCTTGTTGTGATCCATTAGCAGAGAATAGAAGTAAAACATGTCTGTCACTTTTTAACGACAACATCATTCATCATAGATGCGAGTGAGCTGGATATGGAGTAAAACGTCAGCTGGACCATCTATCTTGCAGAGCTTAGTGCTGGACATAAAATGTACAGGGCGCAAAGAATCTCACTTGTCTCACAGCCGTTCAATTGACTTGCATTATCAGGCTCACCTGTAAAAATAGTAGTATAATACAAACATTATAACTTACAATATAACTATATAGATATGATATATATTATACTTATTCTTTCGGTTATTAATCGTACATTGTTTATTGTTGATTGCTCCTTGCTCCTTGCTCCTTACTGGACGGTTTGTTTTGCTGGTGTACATTTTTATGAGACTCTTTAGTATAACTTGCAAAGCTATTTCTTTATCAAGAGAGACTGGTAATCCTTAGCATTGCTGCTATATTCCCACACAAATATTCCAAGCGAGCAGTTGTCCTGACAGTTGTGTATTATCCTGGTTGATAAAGTACACGTTGTCAACGAGAAAAAAGATCTTTGAAAATTGTAATAACAGTATTTCTTACTTCACTCTTTATTTTTATTTATTATTAGATGGAGATTTTTGTATACTGCTTATGTTATAATCGTTTTCATTTTTACATACTTCGCTATTTTTATTTTTTATCAGCATGTGATAAATTTATTTTGAAATTTAATACAAAATTTTAATCAATTTATAATTTCAACATAGTTCTTATTTATTCTTTAAAAAGTAAAGTAATATTTTAAGACACTGAAGTTAAGTGACAGAAGAAACTTTTTTTATAATTTTGTCGCAATTAAATTATTGTGAAAAAAATTTCACATGTAAAAATTAAAAAAAATTATTGATGGAAAATTTTTTAAAGAATTTTTTCATTGTAATTGATTTGTCATAAAAATTTAAGAAATTGAAAGTTGTCAGTTAACTTCAGTATTATAATATTTTCATAACCTAGAAATTTCAAATGACGTGTGACGTGTGACGCATGCGCTTGAGTTTAACCAATAATGAATTCAGAATCTTGTTTTCGATATTTGATACAATGATGAGGTCATACTCCCATCTAGCGGTTTAATTCGATGCATAAACATACGTTATCCGAAAAAGTGAGAATCAAAGATCGCAGGATGAGTGTATAAACTCCTTTAAGATGACTGTTTTTGTCATATGAAAGATTTTTTGGGTAATGAGTCTTAGAAATTTCATCAGCAGATGCTTGGTAAGTGATTGTTATTTTATTTTTTTTCTAATGTATTTTAAAAAGTAAGGTAATTGATTAGTGCCTGTTTCCGATTAATGATGCTGAAGTTATATAGCTGACATATGATAATTTCTAGGAATTTTTTTCAACAAATTATTGTAAAAAATTCCATTTGTAAATGTGTCAAAAAGGTATTGTTTTAGTTTTTTTAACAATTTTTTCCTAGTAGTAATTCATTTGTTGTGAAAATTAAAGAAACTGATAGATGTCGGATAGCTTCAGTTTCATTCCAATTAAAAAAACAATTTTAATAAAGTTATTATTTCTAATTGACAATCAACTCAAGTTTCTAACGATGAAATTTTTTTAATAAATTTTTTTTGCTAGAGTTTTTTTTTTAATTCTAGAAAAATATCAGGTTTCTTTAAATTTGAGTATCATATGTATGTAATGATATTAATATTAACTTCCAAACAACAAGGTCTGAAACCTCGTGTTTATTTTGAAGGTTATTGTTGATGATTTATTACTTATCAATATTAATTGAATAATAATAGTAATTGTTTAAACACATTGTTGACGAGGTTTTTTAGAATATATTTAATTGGATGTGGTTCATTGTAATTATTACGGATTCTTAAAATTTTTTTTTTTTTTTATAAAAAAATGTAAAAAAAGTTTTTTGTATATTTTTTTATAAAAAAGAAAAAATACTATGCGCAGTAATGTTTTATAAATTAAGGACTATGTGCTTTTGTATTATAAAATTTTAAGGTGCCTGATGATGTCAGAATAAAACTGACGAAACGTCGCATGTTGAAATAAAAACATATCAACATTTTGGTCTACAACATCCTGATTTTTATTTAATTATAGAAGAATTTAGATCTCATTAGAACAATGATATTAATATTGAAATAATATATGTATCATCGATTATATGTGTAAATAAAATTTGAATGTATATTTGAGCTACGTAGATTCAGATTTTGGATAATTAATCCGTATGTATAATATAAGTATGCATAAAAGATAACTACCCATTTTATTTTTTTTCCACAATGTGCTAGAAAGTAAAATTATTGTTTAGATATATGCTCTATAGCTCATTGGCCATAAAAAAAGATACTGAATTTAGCTGACAATTGTCAATTTTTTTTTATTTTTATAACAAATCAATAACCCTGTTTAAAAATATAGATTGAAAAGAATTAAAAATGATGAAATTCGAATTCTTTTCAATAATTTCAATTCTCTTGTTTGTATATATCGATATACAGTTTGCATGGAGTGATCGCGTCTCAATTCTTTTCAATCAGTACTCTTAACCAGGGAACAATGAAAAAAAATACTTCTAAAAATTTTCACTAATAATTTTTAACTTCCCGCAAAGAAAATGTGTGTGTGTGTGTGTGTGTGTGTGTGTGTGTGTGTGTGTGTGTGTGTGTGTGTGTGTGTGTGTGTGTGTGTGTGTGTGTGTGTGTGTGTGTGTGTGTGTGTGTGTGTGTGTGTGTGTGTGTGTGTGTGTGTGTGTGTGTGTGTGTGTGTGTGTGTGTGT